AATATTATATATATATATATATATATATAGTATATAATAATATATATATATAATATATATATATATATATATATATAGTATATATTAATATATATGATATAATATATATGAGCATATAAGCTTGTCAAATGAGACTTTAGCAGTTGTAAAACTACTTGTTCATGTTGCAAATTTGTTCAATTATATATTGTGAAATTATTAATATTCTTAATTTTCCTTGTCAAGTTAAATAAATATACTTAAAATCAAAATTATAAGCGCTATAAACTATGTAAGATGTAAACAATTCTGGTGCTATTCTCTTTTTCTTAGGCCAACGACTCTGTTGTTCGGCCTTGTTCATCCACACTATCATCGGGAAAAATTATTAGGCGACGGAGGACAGTATGTCTTCCAGAGCCTAATAAAAATACGTCACATCACCCCTACCATACTGCTTGGACTGGATGACGTTGCTACCCTAATTGCCTATGGAGGTAAGTTATGTCTGTCGTCCGCACAAAATAATCTCTCGTCATCGAGCCACCTTGCCTGGTATAGAGTATTTTATTTTATTTTTTAGCTAATAAAAAAACTCTAATGTGGTTTTCAACTGACCAAAATAACTTACTTTAAAATTTAAATACATTGAGTTTGCTTTATGTTCTTATTTAAAATACTCTATAATCTAAGTAGGTCCAACAAATAGCCTTTAACCTTTTCATAGCACATGCTATTATCCGGCTTGAAAAAGTTTGTTTTGACACTTCTCTACAAGCAAGATATGATTACAACTAAACAATGCCCTTCCTTTCATTCTTTATTAGCCTTAAATAGTCGTCCTATCATTAATTCCACACGTGTAAATAAAACTTACTCCTCTTTGGGTGGCCACGAAAAGCCTTAAGCGTGGGTGGGTGGACGGCTAGGTCGATCGGGGAGATCAGGTCGGCGAAGGCGCCGAGAGATATTCTTCTCGTAATTCAAAAATACAAAATAAAAAAAAATAAAAATCCTCCCTACGTGGCAAATCTCATCTTTCAACATGTTCCTCAGCTGCTTATTTTTTTGCTAGACAATTACTCCAAACCTTTTATCGTGAAATTATTCTGTGCAGTTAAGAGATGTCGTCTGAACGACGAATTTAGGGAACGCGCCACATCATTTTTTTAGCTATGTATTGTGTACTATATACCGAGATGTAGTACCGTATTGATGTGCGTTGTCCTGATTCGCCCTCCAGACCGTTCGGAGATCCACAAATGAATTTCTCTACCTCTACCTGACATTCTCCTTCCAACTCTACCAACTGGTCATTCATTCACTCATTTTTTTAATGTGCTTTTCTAGAAAGAAAGCAAGCTCCAAATCTTGCTAATCACTGAGAATAAGCAATTTTCTTCTGGTCAAAATCTTGAGGTTTTATATAAAAATAAGTTTGGCCTTATAAAGTTAAATCTTCTCGATATCTACTGTCAGTAGTTGTCTTGCTACCTTCAAGAATTTATAGCTATAAGGTATTCTGAAAGAGTCGCCATTGCTTTCAAACAGTTTTATGCATCATGGTAGGTGACTTACCGAACTCTATAAGTTCTCGTCGGTGCTACCGCTCACAGATTGTAGATATGGATATTTAGTATGTATCAATTACCAATTGAACGCGTCCTCCTTAGTATGTCATCAAGTCTAGAGAACAGGAATTACTACTGTGTAGCTTGCGATTTACCTCAAGAGGTTGAATTGTGGAGTATACGATGAAGTTCAATCGATGCCGCAAAGAACACGAGAAGATTGAGGTTATCCGTTATTTCACATGAGGGTTTCAATATACTCGACTTAGATTACAAGCTGTTGTGAATGATGGCTAATCTTAAACCAAATCAACTATAAGGCTCAAGTCTGAGTAGTTGTTAGACTTTAGTCTTTCTGTGTTAAGTTGTTAGACTAATGCTTAATAATTTTCCACAAGTCATATTTTTACAAAGTCTGAGAAAGCACATGTCTGTTTCACAACGAACTGACCTAAGAAAAGTCTCACCCATATGACAGTATTCCTAACTCCACACTATTTTCCAGAACTGACGACGCTACTGAAATCTAACTTGCATTCCTTGCACTAATTCTACGAGCATACTCATTGAAGTCGAGCCCAATCCACTCGCCGTCCGGACCTCATTGTGCGTTCGATCCAACGGCTACAGCTTGCGCTCTTGGTAGAGTTCTAATACTAATGTGCGATTGCTACTCTATTGTTGTTTTCTCCATGTTCCTTGCGCACGTGCCTTGTGGCATCACAAAGCTTATGCGTTTGGCAACACCCAGCCACTTCCAAACACCGGAGCACCACTCGTGCTGCCCGTAATTCCCTCGGATAACCCATGTGTGTTCCCGACTATGACTCGCACGAGACACCCACTCGATCCTGAGCCCGACGCCCTCTTTTGCGTGCTTATTGACTCCACCTAACATGAGAATTCAAATTTTGCTTTGAACTCGCACCCAGTCCATTATGCGTGAGATACCAAATGATTCTTGAACCCACGAAGAATCCTCCACATGTTTCATCTTCCACTGTTCATTGGCTCGTATGCGCTCCAACCAAGTTTTCAAATCCCCTACACGCGCATGTCGACATCGTGCTTTTCTTGTCGACCTGCTATTTCATTCGACCCTTGCTTTATGCATTTCGGGGCCAACCCCAGACTTGCATATTTTGGTAAGCTCGGACCATGCATGCATTCTCACGACTCGTCTAATCACCACTGCTCCGGCATCCGCTTCAGAACGACGAACGCGAACATTGCGCCTATCCAGTGCATGAGCCTCCTACCCATGTGATCCTACATTGGAACTACACCGCCCTCCACGTTTACGGTTCCTATCTGCCTGCATAGCTCCCACCAGTCAAACCCCACACGCATGTTTTCCTGTAGCCCGCATTCTCGTTCACACACTTAGCTGCCCTGTCAGTGGGGCGTTAGCCCGCGGCATCTACCTAACGCACGTTTCTTCGTTCCTTGCGTATGTGTTCGTGAGCGGGTATCTTGCGATCCTGCACTCCAGTTTGAATCATGCACCTTTTATCGTCCTTTACTCACAATCCCTGCCTTTCAACGATACATGACTCCCACAAAGCAATTCTGGTGGCCCAGGACCCTGCCTTTGTTTATACGAACCTTGCACTAGACATTCCATCCACTCTTACACGAACAAACCGTGATCTGAAATCACACCTCTCATCCATCGTCTCACGCAAAATGAATCGTGATGCCTGACTGCTTAACCACTCAAAATATGTGATAAATAAACTTATTTGAGAAGCATGAAAATTCTGGAGGTATAGTGCTTTGGGCCTTTGGAACAATTTGGGAACTTTTGCGGCATACATATATGATATTATAGTTATATATAAATATATATATATATATACTGTATCAGGGAGAGTGCTTTATAAATACTATTTCATTCGGGGGGGGGGGGAAGGCGGGGGGGTGGGGTTCCCATACATTAACATATGTGATCTATAATAGCTATTTGATAACATTTTTTGTCTTTGTGGAACATTCACGTAGGCCTAAAAACTACCACTTAATACCTAACAATTCCAACATTTACCGTCAGATTTTACAAAGCTTAGAAAACACTTGTTGTTCTAATGAACAGATTAAGAAAAGTCTCCACCAAACAGGATGTTTCTCCATCCCCTATTTTTATTGAACCAATGCGTAATCCATTCAAAATCAATGCTCCAGATCGTCCAGGACGATTTGGATCGTCCTGTGCGATCAGTTGTAAGTTTGCTCCAGAATGTGCCCCAGTTTTGCTCCAGATGATTTTTTTGTTACAATCGTCCAGGCCGGATTTGGACACGTCCAGGACGATTGGCACTATAGAAATATATCGGCCTGAGAATAGTTTCTGTGGAACCGTCGCAGGCGACTATCTTGGCATCGGCCGGAGCCGATTCTGTGTTATTATAAAGCTGATTTTCAGTCGTTTTGAAGAGAGAGAAAATCAAAATAAATATCAAAAATATCTGAGGATGAGAGAAATGTCTGTGGACTTTTGTTGGAAAAGTTGATTTTCGGACGACGCAGGAGCCTCGTTTTTCGGTTCGACGGAGACTGTTCGAGATATGATGCTGTACGCAAGGTTAAGGCACATTCCGCTTTTCTTCAATTTTTCAGAACCGTCGAGTTGCGGTATTTTCTGTCGGATTTCGTTTCCGTTTACTGTTTTTATCGATCTGTTATCTTTTAGACTTTGGTTCAGTTTTTACCGCGTAACTTTCTGGATATATTTTTGAACGATGCCGATGTGTGCACATTTTGGTTATTTTCGATGATTTTTTTACCAGGTAATTTATGATTCGGCGGCAGTTTTTTCGAATAGACTAACATTTTTTCTGGAAATTTGGTAAAATTGTCGGTCTTGCAGTAGAATAAAATGTTCTGGGATTATTAATCTATTATTCATTGTGCGAATTTGCTTCGTGAAATTATATTGCAGGAAATTTTGTGTAAATTCTGTCTACTACCATTGTGCTGCAACGATTTTTGTGCTGATTTCTGATTTGCCCGGATTCTTCTTGAATTGGAAATGCTATCTGTATGTGCATATAAAAATGGGAGTTTATAAGTTGGTCTGGATCCTATGAGATTCAGTTAGGTTGTTCTGCGGAAATCTAGAAATGAGCTTCAATCTGAAATTTCTGAAATCAGTCTGTTCGCGATCCGATGAACATCTGTTACTTCCGATGCTATAAAGCATTATCTGTTCTGGTGTATGGAGCACCATAAGTCATAATCATGTTCTGGCTGCCGAGTGAGCACAAAGGGAGTAAAGGGGCCTGAATCCAAGAGATTCAGTTCAGGTACAGGGAATTTA